AGCGGTAACAGATGCTAAGGATGCTAGGAATACAGTTCAGAAAACAAGACAATCATTCAATCAGTCAGAAAATATCATTTCCCATAAATAAAGCATCTTATAACGGTGGTACTACATACACCAATTAGTGTACTAACCAGTGTACCAACACTAGTTATGACATTATTATTGATTCCACTCATTAATCACATTACAAATATAAAAAATCTCTTAAATTGTGTCAAAGCATCAATTGGTACACTAGTTAGTACACTAATTGGTGCATATAGCATTATTCATTTTATAATTTAAAAAATAATTATAATTCAAACATATCTTTATAAGATTGTTACTCACAGATAGCTCCATAGACAGATCAAACGGACCATAGCGCGTGGCCTATCCAATACATAATAGATACACATTGAAACACAATATCACTTCATTGATCAAACTTAACTTTTCTTGTCCTTTTCTGTTTCCCATTTCACATATTCTTTCATTACTAAATCTTTCTTTTTCAAATAGATCGATTTTTTACTTAGTTTCTTAATCAATTACTACTAAATCAGTGACTTATTTTTTAACCAACTAATTTATGTTGGTTATTAGCTTATTAATCTTCATTGAGTTAGAAATCATGTCTTGAATGCTCAAAATCTCAAATATCAAATTAAACTTATTGCCATAATCAATTTTGGTTTCCCAAATTATTTAAATCTTCAATTTTTTATCAGATTCAAAATTGCTGTTAATAAATTACATATTCAAATTAGACACCTCATAAGTAAATTTAAATTTATAATAATCTTAATTACTAATCCTCATAACTTAATTAACTCTAATTCGGGCCCAATCGATCAAATATTAATTTTACTAAACTGAATCAAATATTTATTTAAACTCCTGTATGATTTAATATTTGAAATTGAACTGATTTAACTTATCAATTTCACATTCTTAAGTCATTTAGGCTTTCAATTTATAATTTCCACATAAATCCTTAACCAAATCATATACGAATTAGATTGAATAATTCCCTCAACTCTCAACTTGAACCAAAATAATGCACAATTAAAATCCAAATCCCCTTAATTAATTAAATGTTAATTATTATACGTAGTGGGGTCATCACACTTATACTATGTAACAACTCAAAAAATTAAATTATTCCTTAAATTTTATATTAGTATTATTTAATTATAAATAAGAAAAATCTTAAATGTTTAATTAAATATTTTATAAAAATAAAATATGAAATAAAGTATAATAGATTATATATTATTATTAAAAAAAAAAAGAGAGAGAAGGGGATCAAGATAAGCATGAATTAATAGCTAAGGAATAGAGATGAGACGAGCGGGCAACCGTGTGACTTGGTGCCCACGTTTGCCTTCCTATATGACGGAGGGATTTGCTCAGGATGCAAAGAAAAAGAGTAAAAGAGAAAGGAATGAAAAGGAATTAAGAAAAGGAAAGAAAATATTAGAAGTAAAGAAGGCTTTTGATAGTGGAAAGAAAGTGTGAGGTATTAAAATTAATGTGAGTTTTATTATATTTTGAGTTATCATAATATATTTTACGTGTGTTTGACTTACCATAAATTATTACATACAAGTTTATGTTTTATAAATTATATTAATATTCTAATTACGTTGATTATTTTCTGAACCCTATTTGCTTAAAATGAAACCCATGGATATGTCTGTTTAGCTTTTGATGATTATTTGACTATAACCTTATATATAATTATGTTTTGTAAGTACCAGCACGAGAGTCCCATGCCTTGGGGGACTTAAATAACTATTGACCTCTGTTTGGTCACTTTGTGACCCTCTGTTGTCATGGATCTATTGACCTCTGGTCTGTACAGAGCAAAGTGTTGTGTGGAGATAAATGCTACATTATTATGGGAGCTATCTCTATAATCCGTACGAGCTACCTATTGAATTCGTACCTCTGTTCTGACTGTCACTCCTGTGACCTCTGTTCTGTTCTGTTCGGTACCATGGTTTTGATTATTTATTTACATAATCTCAGTTTTGTTACTTAAATAATTATTCGTTCAGACCAAGTGATCTTAAATATTTTAGTTACATAACTATCCATGATTATTTTGTGTCCCTTATACTCTTGGCATAATATTTCTCACTTTGCCATGTGTTTATAGCTGTTTACCAATTTCAGGAAACAATGCAATTCAGAAATAACTTTTGAAAAGTCTTAGATGCGGGGCTGCAAAATAGACACACACAATATTTTTATGATATTTTTATATGTAAATATCGACATTTTTTGTCAATAAATTTTGTAATAATAATAGAAGCTCCAATAATTATTTTGGTACCCTCATTTAAATATTATTTTCGCTCGCGTTTATTAATTTGTTTAAGAATTAGCCGAAGGTAACTTCAGTTACTGGCCATCACGATACTTAACCCTTGGGTACGGGGAGCGGGTCGTGACATACTAGGTAAAATTAATTTGAATTTTTATTCATAGAGAAATTTGTCTAAAATTTGTCTAAAATTTCACTGGACCTATACTAGAGAAATTATTCGTAGAGAGAATTTTTTTTTGAAATTTCATTGCACTTAAACCAAAGAAATTTCATTGGACCTATATTTGAAATTTCTCTGTCATGTTAATCTTCTTTGGCCATTACACACTTGTAATCTAAAATTTCATTGGATATATATATCTGAAATTTCTCTGTCATGTTGATTTTCTTTAAAATTTTTCTACAAATGTAGTCAGAGAAATTTGCATGCATGTTGATTTTCTCTAACACATTTGATTTTTTTTGAAATTTCTCTGTAAATGTAGTAAGAGAAATTGACTTGCATGTTGATTTTCTCTAACACATTTGACTTTCTCTGAAATTTCTCTACAATTATAATACGAGAAATTTACTTTCATATTGATTTCTAACTCAGTGAAAATTTGTCCTTTTTTTTTCTTTCTAAATTTCATATTCATCATGAATTGTGTTTGATAGATCTCGATAAGAGCATTCCAAAATTTTATTTTTTGTTGAAAATAGATATCTAAATCAAAAATTATTTTTAGGTTTTGAAAAATTTCAAAAATTGAAAGACACCTCGTTTGGGAATAAACCATTTTAATAAATTTTTAGCTAAAATATAAGGTAAAAAAAACTAGTATGTTTAAAATGAGTTTTTGATTTTTTACGAAAAAATGTGCAAAAAGTAGAGAGACAATTGAATATTTGACTTTTTGGTATAGATTATAGGCTTTTTGATTTTTTTAATAACTTTTCGGGTTTTAGACTAAAACAAACACATGCCAAACGATAGGGTTGGGCATAGGGTCATCCGACCCACCCTAACCGCCCTATCCGATCCGAACCGCGCATGTATGGGCGATTTTGCAAACACATTAGGGTAGAGTGCGGTTTTGATTTTATATAATTTTTGGGTTGCACGCGGGTTGCGGGTTTGACCCGCACCCGTCCAACCTGCCCGCATAAAACACTTTTTTTTAAAAAAAAAAAATCTGACCGTTCAAAAAAGTTCCTTTTTTTCCCCTTCAAATCTGATCGTTCAAAAAAAGAAAAACCCTAATCGAATCAAACTCACTCACTCACTAACTCAGAACTCTATCTCCTCTCCTCCTCTCGGTCTGTCTCTCACTCTCATTCTCGCGATTTTCATCTACGCACTACATGCACCCACTGATCGAGTCTCTCTTTCGCAAGATCGACCGATCAACCTCATCGCACACCTCACAGGTAAAGCTCCTCTCTGAATCTCAGTCTCTGTCTATGTCTCTCTCTCTCCGATCTTTGGTTTTTTTCGAACATATGAGATCTCTCTGTCTTTGATCTATCTCTGATCTGTCTCTCTCACTCTCTCATCTCACAGTCTCTGGTTTTGCATCTACACCGATCGGCTCTCTTTCATCGCAAAAACGATCGATCGACCTCACATCATAGGTAAGCCTCTTTCTCTCTCTCACCCCGATCTTTGATTTATTTTGCAACGTATCAGATCTGTTAATTTTTTTTTGTTCATAAATCTGTTCATAAATCTGTTAATTTTTTATTTTTAATCAGTTCATAAATCTGTATTGAATCAGATGAAATGACGAAAAGAAATTTGTTTAATTTTTGATTGAATCAGTTCATAAATCTGTATTGAATTAGTTCATAAATCAGTTTGTAATAATTTTTTATCTATATTAAATCAGTTTATAAATCTGTTAATTTTTAAAATTAAATTTGTTTAATTTTTTATTTAATTTTTGATTTTTGATTTGTTTAATTTTTGATTTTTGATTTGTTTAATTTTTGATCTGTATTGAATCAGTTCATAAACCTGTATTGAATCAGTTCATAAATCTGTTTAATTTTTGATTTATTTTTTTTTTGAATTTGTATTGAAATTGGATCTGTATTGAATCTGTATAGATTTAACACCCCTATGCCCAGCCCTAATTGAATTCAATCTGTGATGAATTTGGTATGAAAATTAAAATTAAAATGTGTTGAATCTGTATTTTTTGTTTGAAAATTGTCTGTGATGAATCTGGTATGAAAATTGTCTGTGTTTATTTATTTATTTTTTGTTTGTCACAACAGATCTGTGTTTTTGGAATTAAATTTGTGGTATTGGATTGAATTAAATCTATGGTGTTGGATTGAATTAAATCTGTGATGAATCTGTATTGAATTCAATCTATGATAAATCTGTGATGAATCTGTGAATTAATTTTTGATTTAATTTGATTCAATCTGTTAACTTTTGGAATTAAATCTGTTGAATTAAATCTGTTATTAAATATGTCTGTTATTTAATTTGTTATTTAATTTTTGGAATTAAATCTGTCTGTGTCTGTATAACTTTGGAATTCAATCTGTTATTAAAATTAAAATTGAATCTGTGATTGTATTTTTGTAATCCAGTTTAAATGGAGGATAGTATTCAATCTCCCGCAATCAATCTTGTACCTCTGGAATCCTCTAATTCTCAAATGAATTCCCTCTTAGTCGAACCCGAACCTGAACCTGAACTTAAGCCTCCTAGATCCCCAAAGAGAAAGAGTTAGGGTGGAGGGGGGAGAGCACCATCCACAGTTTGGGATCATTTTGACAAGGTTGTAGGGACCGATGGGAAGCGTAGAGTCGTATGTAAATATTGTAAGAAAGAGTATATGGCTGACTCTAGACTTCATGGGACTAGCAATTTGAGGAGTCATACACCCAATTGTAAAGAATATCCAAATAGGGATACAAATGGTCAACAAACATTAAATCTTAAACCGAAACAAAATGAAGAGAGTGTTGAGGTTGTAGCAACAATTTTTAATTTTGATACTTGTAAAAGGGCTCTTGCGGAGATGGTGGTCATTGATGAGTTGCCATTTAGATTTGTGGAGGGTGTTGGGTTTAGAAGATTTTGTAATGTCATGCAACCCAAATTCATACCAATTCCCTCTCGTCAAACCATATCTAGAGAAGTGCTCAACATATTCAAGAATGAAAGGGATAAGTTGAAGAAGGCCATGAAGGATCGTAGAATTTGCTTTACTATGGACACTTGGACATCTATTCAGAATTTGTGTTATATATGTTTGATAGCTCATTTCATTGATGATAACTGGAAACTTCAAAAAAGAATCATAAGTTTTCAACAAGTTAAGGATCACAAAGGAGAAACATTGGGTCGAAAAATTGAGTCGTGTTTGATTGAGTGGAACATTGATAGCATATTCACCTTAACAGTTGACAACGCTAGTTCAAATAATCTTACCATTCAATATTTGAAAACGATAACCAAAGATTGGAAGGGGACTATTTTGCAACATGAGTTTATTCATATGCGTTGTTGTGCACATATTCTTAATCTCGTTATGAGTGATGGGTTGAAAGAAATGGATGATTCTATTGCCAACATTAGACTTGCGGTGAGATATGTGAGGTCTTCTCCTCATAGGCATGATGTTTTTAAGAAGTGTGCGGCCACACTCAAACTTGATTCAAAAGCTCTTGTATGCCTAAATGTTCCAACTAAGTGGAACTCTACCTATTTGATGTTAGAGGCCGCCGAAAAGTATGAGAAGGCTTTTAACCGATTGAAGTTAGTGGATTCCAACTTTGAACCTTATTTTAAGGATGTTGATGGTGGCATAAGAAGAAGTCCGAATGAATTGGATTGGAAAAAGTGTAGAATTTTTTTGAGGTTTCTAAAATTATTTTATGTTGCAACTAAGAAATTTTCGGGGTCTCTCTTTGTTACTTCCAATGCTTTTTACAAAGAGATGTTTGTTATTGAAAGCAAAATTAATCAATTAATTTTGGAGGAGGATGATACTTTGAGCTCAATGGCAAAGACTATGAAGCTAAAGTTTAGCAAGTATTGGGGGGATGGAAGTAAAATCAATTTGTTGTTGTATGTTGCGGTGGTTCTTGATCCTACCAAAAAAATGACATACTTGGAGTTTTGTTTTTCCAATTTATTTCTTGGAGATAATAGGAAGGTGGAAGAGATGGTAGACAAGGTTAAGAGTTGTTTGAGTCGTTTGTATAGCCATTATGTCACACTTTATCCTTCAAATGAGAAAATTCCAAGTGTGAGTGAAGTTGTGAATATGGTGGAAGAAGATGACGATGATGATACCTATTCTTTAGTTGACTCCCAATTTAATTCCTATTTGGAGGGGCGATACACTAGTGGAACTAAGTCGGAATTGGAACAATATTTATCCGAAGTTGAACATTTTGCAAAGAATAAAACATTTGAGCTTTTGGATTATTGGAAGGTGAATGCAACCAAATATAGGGTGTTATCACAACTTGCAAGGGATGTGTTGGCCATGCCTATTTCTACTGTTGCATCGGAGTCGGCTTTTAGTACGGGAGGGCGTATTCTTGACCCATTTCGTAGTTCACTCTCGCCTTCTATGGTTGAAGCTCTTGTATGTACTCAAAATTTGCTTCGAAGCAATCTTCTAATTTCTCTTCGAAAGGCAATGGATGATGTGGAGGAATTTGAGCAATATGACTCGGGTTAATGAGAATTTATTTATCTTCATTTTTATTTGTATTGTTCATTTTCTAATGTGAGTTTTATTAATCTTCTCTTGTTGACTCCTAATTAGGTACTTTGGAGTCAAGCTCATCTTCAACTTCAACTTATAATGTTGATGCTATAATTGATCTCTAATATCCATTTGCTCATTGGTAATTTTTTCATAACACATTTTCTTACTATATTGAGATGCAATATATAGACATTTGTTTATCTTTTTATTTTTTACTATAATTGAAGATTAAAGTTTATATTTTTTCAATTTGTTTTTGTGTAGGTTTCATCAACCAAATGCATGGAATTTGAATTGGAATTGGAATTGGAATTGGAATCGGAATTTGTGAAAGTTGGATTGGATGTGAATGAAGTTTGACAACATGTGAATGAAGGATTGGAATTGAAATGTTTTTATTTTATTTCATGGGTTTATATTGAATGAAGTTTGACAACAAATTATTTTTTTTTAATTGCATTTAGGTTTTGGATGAATGTAAGTTAATGAATTTTTATTTTTTTTTGCATTTTGGATGAATGTGAGTTAATGAAGAATTACTTCTTTTTTTTTTTTTTTTTGTATTTGGGGTAGGAATGATGAATGTAGAAATTTCAATGTAGAAATTTTTTTATTTGGGTTATGAATGATGAATGTAGGATGAATGCAAGTTAATGATGAATGTAGATTTTGAATGATTTGTTTATGTTACGAATTGAATTTATTGTGTTTTTTTTATTTTATAAGTTTTTTATAAGTTTTAATTCATTAATTATTAATGTTGGAGCATTTTATAAAATATGAGGAAAAATGTCCAAAATAAATATTGACAAAATGAGAGGAAAAAAAAAAGGGTTTAAAAATAATTTTTGAAAAAAAGTTCAATCCGCAAAACCGCCCGCACATCTGCGAACTCTATCCGCACAAACCGCGAACCGCATTGCGGGCCGTTGTGAGTTGACTTTTCTCCAAACCGTATAGATGCGGGTTGGTCCAAATCGAACCGTAAACCGTCCCAAACCGAACCGCGGACACCCCTACCAAACGAGGCCAAAATGTAAGGATATTTTAGTTCAATAATTTTTGAGGGAAGAGATGCGTGTTTTTGAGGGATCTAAAGTAGTATGAAAGTTTAAGGTGTTCTTTATCTTTTAAAATGGCAATATTATGGATCTTAAAAGAAAAAAAAGGGAATGGTCTCCCTTCAATTTATGATTGGACTAGAGGGTACTGTTAGGCCCGTGTGGATCCACCACGGGTCCCGTTTAGATAATCTGAACCGTTCAATTTATATAACTCGTCGAGTGCAATATGTCTGTAAAAAATCACATTGATTGGAAGTCGATAGCTATGCGATCAAATTAGATTTTTGTAAGTCGTTTATTTTTCACCGTCTATTTTTTTTTCCCATACAAAACTGGTTTGATCAAATAGCTATCGATATCCGATCAATGTGATTTTTTACAGGCGTATAGTACTCGATGATTTTTATACATTCAACAGTTCGGATTATCAAAACGGGACCGATGGTAGGCCCTCATAGGCCCAACAGTACCCTTTAGTCTATGATTGGATTGGAGGGAAGCCATTCCCTTAAAAAAAAGAAAGGAAAATTACACTTACAGTGCCTGTACTTTACTTCTTGTGTCACTTCCTTGTGTTTTCAATTTGCTCGATTTTGACTCTCAAATTTTGATTTTATATCATTTTAGTCTAATTGTTAAAACACCGGTTAAAATTGTTGACGGAAAACAAACAAGTGAGATGCGCATGACTCTTGTTCAATGGCAATATGGACATCTCACTACCCACTTAATTTCTCTTTTACAACCTTCACAGAGAGAGAGAGAGAGAGAGAGAGAGAGAGAGAGAGAGATCTTAGTGTTTGTTGAAATAGGTGATAAGATTGAGAAGAATCTAGAAGCCAGACTAAACGATGTTATCGAATAAGTAGTCTCACCCAAACTCCATTTACCAACAAAAATAACTGGCCTCGGCCTCTCTACCAAGTTTCAAAAATTAAAGGAATCGCTCTAACCCATCACCACCACCACCATCGCAACACCACCTTTAACCATCGCTAAACTCAACCGAGAAAAGCTCTACAACCTCAACAATCTCTTAACCGAGTGCCACATGCAATCAAAGAATGTAATTTCCACTTTCAAGTTTGCTTCCAACTTAGATCGGATTAACCTTCAAGACAAAGACAATGGCGTGGCTTCGAATCGGGTACAACAAAGGAAAATTCAAGGGTCTGTTGATAGAAACACCAATATGGGTTCATCAAATAGTGAAATTTCTCAACAATCGACCTACGAATCGATCTCACTGGATACCAAAATAGAGGTTTTTTGATAGAGAGATCGATTTGTTGATGAAACCAAGGTTCATGGACTTGATGATAAAGTCAAGTCTCTACAAAGATTGTTTGTTTCAAACAACGATGATTCTGGGTTCACTACTATTGGTAAGAAAGAAGGAATGCAGCGAAAAGTTGCTGATAGAGGTTAAGGAAACAAGACGACGAGGCTAGGGAATGGGGAGAAAGAGAGAGAGATAGATCAGTTAGGCTGAAAGAGAAAAATAATGTGGGTGACTGTCATGGGTGGACTAAAAAGGGGAAACAGGTGGTGTCAGGATTGGATAGAAGAAGGTGTTGTTTGGTGGCGGATGGTGATAATGGTGTTGTTTAGCAGTGGTGGTGGTGGAGTGAGATTGATGATAGACGGTAGAGGAAGAGGGGAAAACAAAGGGTGCTGCAGAGATAAAATAGGAAATAGTTAGGATTGAATTGTCTGTTTTGCCCCTCAAAGTTGATCACATATTGTGCGCATGACTATTTTCTGTTCAAAGGTTATTGATTGAACCAAAATGAAACAAAATTAAAAATAAAAGATTAAAATAAAGTGATACAAGAGAAAATATAAAGATTATTAATGTAATTTGTCCCAAAAGAATTGTGAAATCCAGAGCATCTCGCAACAGGCAAATATCCGGTAGTCGGTTAACCTACCTTTCCACTGTTCTGTCTTCACGCTTCTCTCACTTGTTCCCCCTAGGGTTTCAGATTAGCTACCCAACCCAACTCAACTCCTTCGCCTCTCTCTCTGTCTCTCTGTCATCACATCAGTTATCAGCTACATCAATGGCGACCGTGACCCCGATCCCGATCCCAACCACGCAGAAAGAGGAAAACCCTAGTAAAACCCCTGACCCAGAACAACTACAGGACCAGCCACCCTCAGATCCTCCTAGCAACGACGCTTCGATCGACGAGTCTAAGACTATCGAAGACTCCCCTGTCACCGAAGCTTCAACCGACGTCAAGAACAACGACGAAAGCGATGTTTCCGATACCAAGAAGAAGATCCGCAGGGCCGAGCGGTTCGGGATGCCTGTTCAGCTATCCGAACAAGAGAAGCGTAATTCTCGAGCTGAAAGGTACTCTTTTTCGTTTATTTATTTATTTTTGTTTTGTTTTTGTGTTGTTTAATACATTCTTTGCCGATGCTTCTTTGATTAGGATTAGGGTTTGTGATTGTTTTCGCTGTGTGATTGTACATCTCTACAATTAAATAAAGTAAGAAACTCATGAGAGTGAATAGAAAAGTAGCCCGTATACTTTATAATTAAATAAAGAAATATATTCTTGAAAACAAGAACGTATATGCATATCATTAAATCAAATCATTGTAAATAGTGGGCAAATTCAAAACCCTCTTAGCCTATCAATTTAATTAAATTGCTACCCTATTCTACTCCATACAAAGAAGCCCTTGTTGTTCAAGCCATAGCATCAAAAAAATTAGTAGTTTATTCTCATTAAAAATCAACCTTCCCTCAAAGCAGTATCCAAAAATAAAGTACCAAGTTCCCTTGCCTGAACCCAAAAAAAAAAAAGAAAAAAGAAGATAAGAAAAGAAAAGCAAAAGTTTCCTAACCCCAAAAAAAAGGGAATTAATTGGGTAACGTAATAATAAATTGTTGACAATGTGTATGTATATGATGCAAATGTTTGATTTGCAGATTAATTTAGGGGGATGGGAGACCATGTGATCGTGGTTGAGATTAGTGGGAGTAATGAGTAAGTAATACCATGGGATGATGGGTGTGATTATGTAGTGCAAATTTCTATTTAAACCCCTGTTGTTTGAGCCACACCCATGTGTGGACCCCAGCGGATTTAAAAATAAACACATAGCCCCTTGTGATTTTTGAACCAAAATGCATAGTTAGTTTATCCATCCAAATTAACGGCTTTTGATAGTCATACACCAATGTGTTGATTAAGCTATCTTTTTAGGACAAAAATATCTCTTATACATTTTCAAATTTATAAAGAAATGTCATTCTTCTTCAACGCTCCCCCTCGCTCTTTCCCGCTTCTTCCCTCTTTCACTTTCCTGTCACTATTTCCGCTGCACCTCCACCCCCAGCAATCCCACCCCTTTATTCATTGAGCCACTTTTCTGCATCATCCCACTTTGAGGAAATTTTTTCTTGAATGATTTCCCTTTTGTGACTAAAATTTCTTTGTCATCCATGGGTGTTAGGGGGAAAAGAAAGAAGACAAGTTGTTGCCTGAAGGGGTGATGAGGGTAGTTGCCTCTTCCATAAGTGCGTTACATATACAACAACGTGAACCGTACATCAATCATTAGGACCACAGTTGCAATATGTTAAAGAGAACATAATAAAATGAGGAGATCACCTCTACACAAATTTTCCTCTTCCTATAGTTCTGCACTTCTTGCAATACAGAGTTCCTAGTCATGTTATTACTCTAGTGGAATTAGACCATGGATTAAATATTTGTTGAAGATTTATTTTTTGAATGCCAAAAGCTTGGGTAAAAAGGAAGAAGATGAGGACATTTGTGTAAATTTAAAGTAGTTGTTAAGGGAATGTAACTATGCAATTTGGTTCACAATCCACAAGTGGACATGTGCTTATTTCCAAATAATAGGGAGGTCAGCCGCTTGTCATAAGATTAGTTGTATTATGTTTAATTAGGACGAGATCAGTGTTTTTAAAGGCTCTAAGCGCACTAGGGGAATTAAGTGCGAGGCGCGAGGTGAGGTGAGGTTCGGACATTATCGAAGTAAGACACGCAGTTTTAGTAAAAAATAGATATATTAACATAGACTAATGATTCATAGCATGTTAGTACTAAGACAATTTATAAATAAATAAATAAATAAATAAGGCAGATTATAAAATAATTCTCAAAGTCATAAAAGTGCATATTGCATAGCATTCTAATTTTCAAAGGTAAAATAATTCACATTCAACAACAACGACAAAAAAAAAAAAATAATAATAAAAAATAAAACACCAAACATAAATATCTAACAAATACTAATATAAGTCTTAACATTTCAAGAAATTTCAAGAACACAACACGGCGGGGAAAAAAAAAAGGGGGGGGGGGGGTGGAAAAAGGGACAAAAGGGGTGCAACACGAGGACTTCCCAGGGGGACACCCATCCTAGTACTACTCTCGCCCAAGCACGCTTAACTGCGGAGTTCTGATGGGATCCGGTGCATTAGGGAGAAGAACTCACCTAGTCCAGAGACAAGACTAGACGAGCCGAAGGGAAGAGAAGAGACACCGCAAGATTTCTTCTTTTTTTCGAATTGATTAGGGCATTTCGAATCGATTTGGGGCTGGGTATTGAGTAGTATGGCTCAAAGTTCTAATTCTCTGTGATTGAGGCCTTTAAAAACATGATATCAACCGTTAGATGCAATTAGAGAAAAAAAAAAAAAGTCACAAATTCAACTGGCCAAGTCGCACACAAAAGGCATGCCTTCTTCAACTCGCCTCGCCTTGGGTGGCTTCAGGCGCTGCACCTGCGCCTCGCTGTGCCTTGCCGCGCCTAGGTGCACCTTTCACAACACTGGATGAGATGCATGATGGGATAAGGGAAAAAGATTAGGGCTCTTGGTTAACAAAATTATTTAATAAGATTATAGTGTCTAGGAAAATGCCTGACAAGTGCAGAAACATATTTTAATACCTATATATATAAAGGACATATACAACTTGCTTTGATTAAAATGACCTTCCAGTTCTTTTGTTTGCCATGGAGCTTCTCAAATATGGACCTGTCTCCTTGTAGGTTTGGGACTGTGCCTGCCACTAATGGATCAGATGCATTGAAGAAATCAGAGGATCAGAAGAGAAAGGCTAGAGCAGAGAGGTTTGATTATTTTCCACTTTAATCTTTTCATTATAAAGTATTTTGTTGAAGTTTTTAAATCCTCTATTAATCAATTTACTTTTCTTTTTTGATATGTTTGTATGGGTAAATAGTTTATGATCCTTTATGTTGCTTCTCAGGTTTGGGATTGTGCAGTCTGTTTCTGCTGATGAGGAGGTGAAGAAGAAAGCCAGGCTTGCCAGGTTTGCGGCAGCAGTTCCCAAGACAGATCCTGAGGAAGAAGAAAAAAAGAAAGCCAGGGCATTAAGGTCTGCATCAATGCAACATTATTGGCTTGTCTCCATGCTATGCTAGGGACTTATTACAATGCATCTATCAGCTATTGCAATGCAAGAGTAGAAGCCTACATTTTTGCTCTGTTATTTAATAATGATATATGTTTGAAATTTCTTTTGCAGGTTTTCACAGCCTCCATCTGATTCTCTATCGCAAGTGAATGACAAAGGAAATGATACTGAAATGGCAAGTCCTTGTAAATGGGTTGCTTTACAAATCCATTGATGTAGATGTACAGTAATAGTTTGTTGTCTATAGTACTGATTTTCTATTCTTGAATTTCAGAAGACAGCTATCACAAGCAAGGCTGGTGGGGGAACCTAAATATCGTAATTGCTCTCTTTCATGGTAAGATCTGTTTGAAGATGTTATTCTTTAGCAGGCACAATTCCTTCCCATTTTAATTTAATTGCCATGCTTTTTTCTTTTTTTTTTTTCCATCCAATGAATAGGTTTCGTTTGTGAACTATCCTTAATATTAATGTTGCTGTCTCATTTTGACAGGCTTAGAGTTTTGACGTTTTATGACTTGCCGGTGGCTTCTTTAGTCATGTCTAATTTTTCTGACGTATTAATTCTTGGACGCAGCTCTCTTCCATTCTTGGAGACCTTCCTAGGAGGCGAGGCAGCATGAAGAAGCTTTCTCTTGTCTTTGATATTTCTGTTTACCTGTTGAGGCCCCAGGATGATCAACAGTTCCTCCTTAGTGTTAACCTAACTGAAATGACAGACTTAGAAAATATCAAAAATACTGAAATTATAGCCTGGGAAAATATTCTACTTACAGAAATTCTGATATAAAACCTAGACTCCTCCAGAAATTACTGATTGCTAGTTTGGTTCTCTTTTACAACTCTATCCTTATTTTCTTCTTCTGTAATCCACTTGTTACCAACCTCTCATATCCACTTGTAGTTGTAGTCATGTCACATGCTGTAGATCTGGTTGGAATCAGCAGTAACAAGCTAATGTGCGAGCCTATAACATCATCCGATCCAAGATTTTTAGTGTCAAAATTGCAGTATTGCCACATTGAAAATTTCTTTTTTTGTGTGGAAGGTAGATCATATTAACAGAAATCACTTGGCATACTGTGGTCTGGTCTTATTTTATTTTATTTTTGGTTTTTTGATATCTTACATGCAGGGTTTTATAAAATTTCCAAGAAATTGTTATATGGCCAAATATTGTCAAACAGGATAAGATTTCTGAAACAACATATGAAGCAAACTGGTTTTGTTGTGCTTTGTAATTCTAGGTTGATTGCTTTGCATATTGCAAGTTGGTTGTTGAGGTGTGATTTAACGATTATTGAATGCATTATTTTTTTGATGTACTGGAGCTTTTGTTGAGGAGTTTGCTCCCATTTTGTGGTGTGAAGTATAACATATTTTGACATTAGAAATCATGGATCAGATGATGGTAAACTGCTTCTTCAATCTATAATGTTACTTTTCAAAAGTCTTCGCATTTTCATGTCTGGTTAAAACCGTGTACTTGCCTATTTTTGTTACTGCTGTTTTCCAACTTGAGCATGGCAGATATGATGGGTTGGATTAGGTTTGGGGATGAAGTTGTCAGATGAAATAATTTGTATGCAAGTAAGTTCTTGTGATTGGTTATTAGGATGATGGAGGGTTCAAATAATACATATTTCCTCAGGCTATAATTCCCAGAATTCTTGGTATTCTCTGCTTGTTATTTGAGTTAAATTGACACTCAGGAGCTGTTTTTTGATCAACTTCGGCCTCACCGGGCGAACTGACCTGCTAGTCTGTTTGGATATGTAGAAAAGAATGGAAGGTGTTTGATTATTATAGGGATTTGTAGGTTTAATTTTGAAACGTTTAAGGAAAAATTGTGCTTTGTTTATGAATTTGTAGGATCATTTAAGTTGTTTGCCGGGTGGTCTTGTAATTTTCCTTTTTTGTCTCTTACTGTAGTATATATTTTCCTGGGAAAAATCAAGTCGGTTGTCTCTTATGTTTTTTGGATGTTAATATAGAAAATCATCCATCAATTAGTTCCTGTTTCCCTCAGCCATGCACATTGGAAATTTCGATCTCTTCGTAGCATGTATATGTTTTGGAACTGAAATTGGTTGGGGGGTTCCTTCAGCATTGTTTTGGCTTGAGATTCCCGAGATGGTGACGAAACCCGGTATTCAGTTCATGTTACTTTTCTATCTGGCTTTATCTATTCATATTATCTTTTATATATCATGTAACTTTTCAATCTGGCTTTATCTATTTATGTTATCATTTATATATCGAAAAAAATTCATGTTATCTATTTTAAATCATAAAGTTCATGTTAGATTTGGTTTTAGTGGGAATTTTGTGCATCTGAGATTGGTTCGAAAGGTACTGAAATTGATATTCTTGTGATCGGTCCAAATTCTAGCAAAATAGAAGATTTGAGCGACCAAATATAGCTTTTTTTTTTTCTATCTGCTTTTCTTTTATTTGGAAGAATTGGTCCTCTTTAATTTTCTGAAAAAATAGAAAAGAAAAAGAAAGCTCCGAAAGGATAAAGAGAAACTCTGCAAACGGTAAAAAGAAAGAAAATTAATTTCTTCATTTTTTCCCCATTTAGTCCCTCTACAAATATCTTTACAAAATTCTGTATAAATTTAAAATGCAAAAACAGCTAAATCATCGCCATAACATTGGGGGTGTTTGGGAATTTAGTTTTTGGGGGTTTTTTTTTTTGTTTTTTTTCATTACGAGACAAATGTTTTACAAAATTAAAAAAAATAAATCTAAACAAAATATCACATCAAATTCCATAATCATCATTTTTTCTCTCACAAACATCATATCTTTCCAAACATAATTTTTTTTTTTTCAATAATATTCAACTAAAAAAATTTATAAAAAAAATCCACTTTCCAAACGCTCACAATGATTAAATTCACATATGATCTATTGAAAGCTTGGTTACAGCAAATATGATTTCAAAGTTGTACCATAAGAACAACCAAGAAAAGGCATCCACTTTGATAGTGAAATCAACCAAAAGTGAAACTAGCTTTGATATATAAAACTACATGACTCAAATGTGAATGATTTGTATTGACTTTGCATCGATCGTGATGACAACAGAAGGATACATTTGACTAGTGAGAGAAAAGGTGCAAGCATTCGAAACTACACATTTGAGAAGCATACAAATTCATGTGGATTCCAACTAGCCCGGAATTTCAAAAGATTTTCTTGAGTGCCAAACAGAACACTTTGCGATTCATGAAGCCAGTCTAAGGAAGACTCTAACCTCAATTTGTGTTTGTAATGGCTTGCTAATCTCAGGTAATCCAGAGCGATTTGTCTCTCTCTTCTTTTCCTTTTTCTATATGAAGAATGGTAAAAGAGGATGACAAATTCGAGAGAAAATTAAAGAACACTGTAGACTAGGACTTCACCGGGGTGGGTACTCTTCCACCTTTTACTGAAATATTGCAACTCTCAGACGAATTCCTATTCATCAAAGGTTGATCTATAAACACAACTACAACTGTAATGTCATCATGGAAATGTCTCCTCACCCCTCGATCAATCTTTTTGAGGTCCGAGTATCTCATTTCTCTTTTCTTGGCCGCTACATGAAGTGCAGCTTTAACGAGTCTCCTAGCAATTCCCTGCCCAAAAAACAAGACAGTAGGGATTTCAGCTCAAGGTTTTAAGACAAAAATTCTTTCAAAGGTCAGATTGGGAACCATTGCAAACTTATACTTCAAAGTGGCCTGAGTTTGTTTCAGCAAAAATTGTCTTTAACGAGTCTCATAGGGAAAACGTTTTCTGCAGAAATTGTCGTCCACAAAGAAATAAAAAATAAAAAATAAAAAAAAATCCAGTTTTTGGTTCCAAATGAAGGCCCCGTTTGGTAGAGTTGTGGGAAAGTGATTATAACTTATACCCTAACAGCTTATAGCTTATAGCTGTGAACATAAGCTGATTTTTGACTTATAAATTAAGCTTCTTCTCCTCCACTCAAAGAATAAGTTGATTTTTGACTTACAAAAAGCTATAAGTTATATTGTTAAGTTGAACCAAACACATTAAAATAGCTTAAATTAAGCTAAAAACTGAAATAAGCTGAAAATAAACCCTACCAAACAAGGCCGATGTGCTAGTGGTTTTAATGGTGGCAGTGGTGGCGGTAGCAGCAACAATGGTGCTAGGGGTAGGGTGTTGGTGGTGGAAGGGGGTGGTGTCGCTAAGAATGTAGTCTCATAGTTGTTTTCCACCTTTAAAAAGCATAAGATGTTTTCCCAAATCAACACATTTCCATTGACTATGGAAAATGTTTTCCATTAGTTTTCGTTTTCTGTCATACCAAATGCCAGAGAATGCGAAAAGCATTTTTGCAAAGCAAACGGAGATTTTTATATTATTGAGAAAACTCCACACAAGCAGCCCAAGGCCCAAAGAAAGCAATTAGATATCTGTGGCTTTTAGCTTCTAAACCAATAACTACCTCTAGATGAGTAGTTCAAACTCAAAATGTTTTTGAGCTTTTTGTTTTTTATATTTTTGTCTTTTTGTAAGAAAAAAAAAAAATTCACTAAAGGAGAAAACTCAAAAACAGTATTTAAAAATTAAACCAACCAAAGTGTCGAGAGAGATTTGATGCTTACATTACGTGGACAACTGTTGACAATATCGACAGCCTCCTGGTTGCTGATATGCTCCCATAAACCATCAGATGCAAATATGAGAAAATGATCTTTTGGATTGAGTTTGTGTATAAAAATTGATGGCTCTGGGATAAGGATTGGGTTGGCGAACGGTTCAGGAAGTCTAAACTTTGCTAAAAGAGGTTCTTGGTTGAACTCTGCCTTCTTCAGATAGGCATCGCCAATGGATCTTGAAACCTGCAAAAACACAGACAAGAAGGGCCATCAGTGAAACATATTTAGATGTAAAATCTCATTCTTACAAAAAAAAAACAATCACTATGTTTGGTTTTGTTTTCAAAATCTACTTTCTGTAAAATACTATAAACTAGTTTGTTGAAAATAAAAACTTAAAAGATGTTTTTGAATTTTCAAAAACTATTTTAGCAAAAAGGAAAAAAAGAAGGAAACAATATGAAGCGGTTACCTTCAACCTGGATGAAGGTAGGATTTGATCCCATCATCCACTATTTCTCAGGTATCATTGCTAAGAGACTTAATAATGAGTGATATATACAAACAGAAAAATTATACAAAAAAAAAAAAAAAGAAAAAAAAAATCTATACAAAATGATGTGGCAGAATTACATCCATTCATTTCTAACCAAAAGACCAATCAAAGTGGCTTATTATGTAAAAAAATGCCACTGCCATGTCATTATGGTGAAATTTTCTATATACATTTTTTGTTTGAAAATCATTTTCCATTAATAGGGGAAGAAATAACTAGTAATACGATAAACCAAGATTATAGGTTCTATCGCAAGATTAGGAACTTTGAAGTAGAGATTGCACTTAAGAAGATGAAATCAAATAAGGCTTTAGGATCCGATGATATCCCTATTGAAGCTTGAAAGTGTTTGCGTAAAAAAGGAGTTGCTTGGTTGACTAGGTTGTTTAGCAAAATTTTGTTGACTAGGAATATACCAGATGAGTAGAGGAAGAGTATTTTAATGCCAATCTATAAGAATAAAGAAAATGTCCAGAATTGCAACAACTATAGAGAAATCAAGCTAATGTGTCATATAATGAAAGTGTAGGAGATGGTGATAGAATGCCGATTGCAAAATATAACAGATGTGTCAAAGAATCAATTTGGGTTTATACCTGGCAGGTCAACAATAGAAGCGATCTATCTGTTGAGGAGAGTAATAGAAAAGTATAGAGAAAAGAAAAGAGACATTCATATGGTGTTTATCGACCTTGAGAAAGCATATGAGAGAGTGCCTCGAGATATAATATGGTGGGTGTTATAAAAGAAAGGGGTGGCAAATGGTTACATTGATGTGATTAGGGACATGTATGAAGGGGTGGTGACCACTATTAGATCACCTGTTGGAAAGACAAATGAATTACTATCACTGTAGGGCGGCACCAAGGATCTACCTTAAGTTCTTATCTTTTTGCATAAGTTATGGATGAGTTGACGAGAAATATTCAGGATGACGTGCCATGATGTATTCTTTTTGTAGATGATATCGTGTTAGTGAATGAGACTAGAAAAGAAGTCAACATAAAGTTAAAGATTTGGAGAAAACACTTGAATCTAAAGGATTTCGAATAAGCAAAATTACGACAGAGTACATGGGGTGTAAATTTAGTAACAGTAACAATGAAAGTAGAGGAGAAGTGAAGATTGAGAACTAAGAACTGCCTAAGAGTGAACATTTTCGTTATTTAAGGTCGATTATCACAACGGCGGGGGAGATTGATGTGGATGTGGCCCATAAGATTAAGGCAAGATGGCATAAGTGGAGAAGTGCGTCTGAGGTACTGTGAGATAAATGAATACCTACTAGACTAAAAGGTAAGTTCTATAGAATGACTATTAGACTAGTAATGCTATATGTGACGAAGTGTTGGGCAACCAAGAAACAACATGTCAATAAGATGAGTGTTGCTGAGATGAGGATGCTAAGGTGGATGTGTGGCAAAACTAGACAAAACAGAATTAGGAATGAGTGTATTCAGGAATGGGTAGGAGTAGCACCGATAGAAGATAAGTTGAGAGAGAATCAATTGAGATGGTTTAGTCGTATTCAACGGAGACCAATAGAGGCAGTAGTGAAGAGATATGACGCAGTGACGGTAGATGGCAGTGTTAGGAGACTGGGTAGGCCTAGATTAACGTTAGCTAGCGTTGTAAATAGAAAATATAGATCTACTTAATTTGACTAACGAAATGACCTTTGATAGAGCCGCGTGGAGAAGAAGGATTCATGTAACCGACCCCATTTGATGGGATTTAAGGCTTGGTTTGGTTTGGTTTGGTTTTGGTTAATTTCAACTCCAGAACAGTCCCCATAAACGCATCCAGTCCAGATTATGAACTGCTGGACCATTTTGAGCATATAATGCGGTTATATTCTGTCAGTTCAATGATTGTTTGATACAAAAATCGGGGTATAACATGCATAAACTAAATTATCAAATCACCAAAGAAAGCTATATTGAACTGTTCATCAATTCATTGACTATATGCTAAAAAAAAAATATATGAAAAATAAGAAAAAAGAAAGCAAAGAACTCAAGAAAATTACCTGTATGAGACCCTTCACGCGCCAAACCTTGTGCCTTAGAACCACAATTTGTGAATCATGGGGATGCAATGAACGAAGCTCGTCTCTCACAGATTCAATACTTGCATTGTGCTCTGTTGATAACTGAATAGCCGTGACCCCTCTAACACCCTTCTCTGCTCTCCCTAACACCACACGCGAGTCTCCAACATTTGCAATATATAGAAGTCCATTGCATATTACCCCCACCAAACAACACGTTCCCACCGATGCAATTTGTGGCTTATCACGCCACTGCTCCTTTACAAGAGAGAGAAACTCCTCTTCGGTTGCCAAGAATGCTTTTTTAATAACATTGGCAGACATTTCTTGATGCTCAGAAGCAAATTCTGAATCAAAGGAATGATGATGTCAGAATGAGCATATTCATCACATCATAAACAAAGGCCTTGTTCTTGAGAGGTGATGATTTCTCACCAATGGATGATATACGATTGGGCATTTAACGGTTTTCATAAGTGAAAACAAAAGAATTAAAAAATCAAATTTTCTTCTTTTTTTATAATTATCTTTTTCTTAAATTTTAATTTGATTGGGAGTGTTACGTTTCACTCCCGTCAGTTAAAGACACAAGGTTCCCCTGGTGAGTCAAGCAACAAGTGCAGAACCTATTAAGTTCATTATTCCTAAAAACCAACTATAAATCCTAGAAAATTCAAATCACTATCTCAAAATGATATTTCATGTAATTGAGGCTGATGGTTCATAAATGTGTTGCACGGTTCTGAGATGCAAAGAGATGAAAGAGCCTGAATAAATGAAAACAGAAACAGTGAGCAAATATGAATACAAACGACTACGTCACAATGAAGGAAGTGATTACTGAATAAATAAGTGGAATACGAGGTTCTAAGCCAACTAGTGATAAGCGCCTGGTAAAGATAGAAGTGGCCAGAAGGGCAATTCAAATTAACTCAGCATAGTCCATACAAATCCTTCATTCATTCGGTTCTATCTAGAGGATCATATTATCTCTACTTTTTTTTTTCTTTTTCTTTTTCTTTTTGGGTTCTAAAATTCAACATAATTAAACTTAAATAAGTTCAACCTCTTGAAGCTTCATCAACAATGCAATCTAGTCATGAAGCAAAATAGCAAAATTTTATTTTTTTATATAAGAATTTAGTGATATAGTTGGTCAAGCTAGTATACTTGGCAACCGATCACTTACGACAAAAATGAATTAAGTTCAATGTCAACACCATTAAATAGTGAAACGATATCAGAATCAAATTGAACAAATAGCAAGGGAAACAAGAAGAGAACAGAACATACTCTTAAGATTGGGGAACAGATTTTCATTCACGAATTGGGATGTCTCTGGTCCTCCATGTCCATCATAAACCCCAATAAAGGTCCCACGAGGGCCTGAATCGAGTGAACTCAATGGCCCTGATTCAACTTGGCTTTGATCCTCCAACAAATTATTAGCTTGAATCACTGCCATTGAAAATTCTCCATTCACATGGTATCCCAAATCCTTATACCACAACAACCCATCAACCCGGCCATTAGGGTCTCCGATTTGCCGATTCCGGCGACCTCCATCACCCTCAACAGAGGGTTTCCAACAAGGTTTAACCATTTCTCTGAAACCACTTGATATTGACATTTACACCTCTGACCTCAAATACATGTATATCATCTATAATTGACCCACCAATAAAAACTATCATCAAACACACTTCTCAAGTATTACGTGCAAACCCTAGAAACATAACATGCATACATATATCATCCAAAAGAACCAGCAAACAAAAAAATCATCAAACCCAGATGAAGAATAAGGCCAAAACCCAACGTCAAGTCTAGTTTTTGCGTGTGCTCTAAACCCACAGTCCCAATTCTTGAAACTATATACCGACCAACCCAACAGGACCAAGACACCATTAATATGGGCAATACTCCAAAGAGGGACCAAATGGGTATGGGCAAAACCAATCAGCAGGTGTCTTTGAGGACAAGAAAGCAATAGTTTTAATTGTGAGTTCAGAGAATATGGAGGTGTGATTCTCTAGCATACCTTGAACCTGGGTAGAATGACTTTGGACCTTCCATTGTGTGTCATGTTTCAAGAGACAAGCTTAGCTGTAGAAACCCATAATAGATTTGATGGTGGCAGAGTTTGTTCTCAGATCAGAGGGATCAAAAGGTGGGCAATGGATAAGAAAAAGAAAAAAAAAAAAAGGGTCTTGGAATTTCTTGGCAGAAGATTTTTAGATTGGTGTCAGATGAGATCTCAGATGATGATGGAGAGGAGGAAGGTTACAAATAAAAAGAGATTTAAATTCACAAAATCTCTGACATTTTTTTGTTTTTGTTTTGGATACATCGACTCTTCTACTCTCTCTTGTTTGCTTTTTAGTGTTTTTTTTTGTTCGGTTTTGTGGCCATATAGTTTCCAATTATATGGCTGAGATTTTGCTTTTGGACATTAGTGAAAAGCAACCCACCATTTTAGCCAGTTTTTGCTCATCTTTTACTTGTCTTTTCCTTAAAATGAAAATGATAAAGAGACAAAATAATCATTTGTTTTTTTTATAGAACTCTGCTTATTATTTGATATTGCTAATGATTTAATAATGTCAAAAAATTTATAAATTTTAATATATATTTTTTAATATGCATTTTACATAGAAAAAATTACATACAATTGGGCAAAAGAAAAACAATTACCAACACATAGGGTGCAAGCGACACTTACATCTCTACAATATTTCATTTATACCTTACCACAAACACACTTACACTTCCATGCATTTATCATTTTTTTTCCTTCTCATTCGAGCATGTAATTTCCCATTTACATCTCCATATTAACTATCGCCCATTTAGTTGTGATTAGTGGAGTATAAGGTTTGATTTGACATATTTAAAAAAAGTCAAAAAGTTAAAAAGTCATTATCTTATTTAAGTCACATCATTTTATTTAAGTTACATCACCTCTCCAACACATCATTTCAAACTCAATACAAACCTAACTCATATTTCATAAAAAGTTAAAAAGTATACTTATTTGGATCATCCCAAATACCCCTTAAGTAAGGTATATAATAACTAGGGAAGATATGACATTAGTGGAATTTTAAAAAATAACTATAAATTTGTGAATTTTTTTTATAAATAGTAATAATTATAATTATAATTTTTTTCATGAATATGCATTTTTTTTTCCAAAATTTTACTAGGGTGTAATTATCCCTAAACTAAGCTAAGTAGATTCATTTTCCTTATTTTTAACATCGTCCTAGAGTCAAGTTTTGAGTAATTTATTGTAACTCCTCACTTATTTTTATGTTACCTTTACATATAGTCCTGCCACATGTGTAGCATAATACGTTGTCTTTCTAAATCAATCAAGATTGATGCAAATGTTCTAAAAGTCATTCCATTTGATACCAATTAATTTGAAGTTGAATGTCTCCCATTAATATGTAACACTATCCATTGTTCATTGTTATTTGCTCATTAATGAATCACACATGTTTGTTTGGTTTTAAATTAGGATATTACTACACCAATTTAAAAAATTATAATTTCTCTTTCATATTTAGCCATATGACAGCTATCACATTATTAAAGTGAGTTTTATCTCTATTTTTTTTTTTTTTATACTGTACGACACATTAGTTGAGAAGATTTTTTTTTGTTTGTAAAATTTGTATTGTATTCTAAAAAGGGGCTGGCTTCCTTTAGTTTATGATGGGATTAGAGAACATTGTTGAGTCTGGGATCTATCACGGGTCTCGTTTTGATAATCTGAATCGTCAATGTGTAAAACTCGTCGAGTATTATATGTTTGTTAAAAATCATATTAATCATATATCGATAGTTACGTGATCAAATCAGTTTTATATACAAAAAAATAGACGGTGAAAAAATAAACGGTTAACAAAAATCTGATTCGATATGATAGCTATCGATATCCGATCAACGTAATTTTTTATAAGTATATAATATTTGACGAGTTCTATACATTGAATGATTCAATTTATTAAAACGAGATCCGTAATAAGCCTCCACAAATTTAGCCTCCGTTTGGGAAGTAAGTTGGCTTTTTGACTTTTTGACTTTTTGACTTTTTTGGCTATTTTAGCCTAGGCTAAAAAGTTTAGTTTGGGAAGGATTTTTTGGCTTTTTGACTTTTTAGCTTTTTAAACTTTTTTTGTGAGAGAAAAATGTAATGATTATGAGTTGAATGTGATATTTTATTTTTTGTGACTAAAATAACCTATTTCATCTTTTATAACTAAAATAACCAAAAAAATCCCGTTTAGCTCTTGCCAAACGGAACCTACCCTCTACTTCATGATAAGCCCGGCCTTTTAAAAACATAATTCTCTAGAGAAATTTATCTTGTGTTCATGCACTAGGCTATGGATCACACACAAACACATGGCTGTCAATTCAATTGTTTCATCAAGAGATTTCTCTACTGATGGAGAGACATTTTTCTTTCACCAACAATAATTTAGACCACTAAAAAATATACTATTAATAGCATTAATACATTAAAAATGATAAAAAAAAAAGAAAAAAAAAGAAACAAGGCATAGAAAGTGGGCGGGGCCTACTGCCACATCATAAGTGGTTCTTCTAGTGTTCCATTTCTAGTGCTCTCAAGTATGTTTCTTATTTCACGGCCAGGCTTCGCCCTTGTTTGAGATTATGTATGGTTGGGTCTGTAAGAGTTTTATTACGGGTCTTGTTTTAATAATTTGAATCATTTTAATGTATAGAATTTGTTGAGTATTTTATTTTTATAAAAAAAATCACGTTGTTCGGATATCGATAACTACTTAATCAAATTAGATTTCTGTCAATGGTAAATATAATTTTCAAAATAAATTGTTGATAAAAATTTAATCCGATCAAATGACTATTGATATCCGATCAATATGATTTTTTACAAAGATAAAGTACTTGATGAATTTTATACGTTGAACGGTTCCGATAGTCGAAACAAGATTTGTGTAAATCCAGACCTAACAATACTAACGTGAACTAAAAATAAACCTGCCCCTTTCATAAATATATTTGCCAAAGAAAGCTTTGTTCACTCTCCCTTTACATCTTTGATTAAAATATATATATATATATATATATTCATAATTCATAATTTATCATTCATTCATGATTTTTCCATCATTTTAAAAAAAAAAAAAAAATATTCACAATTCACATGTTCGAGAAGCTTTACTGGTCATTTAGTTTTCAAGCTATAACTTAATATTTCTATTCGCCACACTTGATATAATTTATATATAATTGTAACAAATTAAGGTAAATTCAATGTCAATTCCATGTTTAGTTTGCTAAAAGTTATTTGAGATAGGCCTAGTTACTAAACAATCAATCATTTTAAATAATATTTATGAAACTACTCATTAATTTTTTAAACTATACTTGTAAAATATTATAAAGAATAAGAGATGGAATAATTAAATTCTTTGTCCTCTGTTTCTTTCCCAACCAAAGTGATTAACATTTCCAAATCATTTACTCATATGAAAATGCCCTCCTCTCATTCTCTCTTTCAAATGGCAATGTTAAAAAATTATATGTCTAACAGATCAATAAGAGAGAATGCAAATTAAAGCGCAATCCAATTTTATCAGCTAGGGATTTAAATGGATGTGGGCACAACCCAAACTCTTTTAGATTTCAGTTTTGCTGTAATTCCAAGGTCAAGAATTTATATTATCTTAATACAATTCTCAGTTATAAGATTGTGGTGAAATTCTCAAAACATACAATTGAGAAATTTCCTACAATGTTAAGTGAGAAATTTTGCAGTCAAAGAATCAAAATGACCTGAATTCAATACGCTTATTCACTACCATTTGTCAAAGCCAATTTTTGGAATCAATTGCTATTTAACCTCAACAAAAGTTTGAGTATGTCTAACTTATAAAGGGTGAATTGGGTAGAGGGTCATGTTAATTATCAAAATTGGATTCATTTATGACTCAAAAGGTATTTAATCGATTTTCCATCACTGATTATTATGTTTTTTTCAATTAAGATAAGACATATGGACATTTCATTTATATAGACGCAACACACCATGTAAGACAACATGCACAGACTCACATCGATAATTTTTCCCCATGTGATAAATTCTCCTTTGAGAACGTATAAATGAGGAAAATGGATCCCCAAACTCATAGGGCTCTAAAGAAGTGTGAAATGATATTTTTCTTCTACCCAAAGAGGCATTTGCCAAATTCCAGAAACTCTTTTTAGAAGTGTAAAACGAAGGACCCTTGATCTCTAATATTCTAGGCTTGTGAGGACCATTTGTCTTTGGAAACATGGATGGTCTTCATCAAATCCATCGCATAGGTTCCCAAATTTACATATGAGCGTTCAGCGGCAATATGTCTAGTCAAGGGTTTAGCAATGGCTTGCATTCCACATTTCATGCAAATTTTGGGCTCAATTTTAGCATGAGTAGATTTAAAATAAAGGATTGGATGTTAAATTTCATAAAAAGAAACGATTAGGCCCTTGGCCATTCCTAATTGAGGTAATTGGAGGAACATCTCAACTATATATGTGAGAGTGCTTATCATCTTTAAGAGAGGGTACACTGTGGATGGGTTATGGCGGGTTTGGAGCGGATTTGTCTTCCCGCCATCCTCGCCTCCCGTCCGCAACCGCCGCTAACGGGTAGAATTTTTTTAACCTTCATCCGCCATGGATACCAATACTTGTGGAAACCTTTGATCAGATTTCAAATTGTCAAAAAATAAAATAAAATGGGGAACAATAAGGAAACAAATTCAAACATTAACACATTTTTAATTGGCATTCCTTTTACACACTCATTTCCAAACAAGAATATGTACAAAATCATACACCATTTTTAGGTTGTTCTACTTTGAGAGTTATTCCTATTCTAATTATAGTTATTATGTTATAATTATACTGAGTGGGCAACCAAGGGCTCTAAACCTAGATTGGGCTAGCCGTTTGGCCACTAAATTGCTCTCTTTAAAGGAAGAAGTTTTTGGATTCCACTCTTAGAAGTAGAAATAGGAGGGCCGTTTTTTTTCACAAAGTGTATGAGTGTGAGTTTTCAACTCTTCGAAGTGTTAACTAACAACTAACCACTGACTTTCCCAATACAAAAAAAAAAATATCGAATCGGGTTTGGATGGAGACAATTTCTGTTATGGAGATCAAAATGTAATCTAGCCCCGCCGCTGCACAAGTGTTGGGTCAAGTAATAATCAGCCCTTCGGAATATAAGTATGAGAGGGCTTCCATGAATCAGGCTAAATGGCTCTCCCTAATACATTGCACCAAACAGTGGAAGAATAATGCTAAGTCAGTGTACTTTAAGAGGTATTCATACTCATTATGAAAGGAGCAGCACTGCAATAGAATG